ACAATGTAATAATGATGGTAATAACAAGTAATTATCAAGAACAACAAAAGAGAAGAAGAATAACAAACAAGAAAGAGAAGAATGAGAGAAGAAGTATTTGGAGAGAATGTGTTACCCACAACTGTAGGATTTCTTATTGAACTTTCACTTGCTAACTACAACTGTGAAATTTGTTCTGTTGTGATGTAGAATACAAAGCAAGGCACCCTATTTATAGTTTTAGGTTTACACTAGCCCAAAACATAAAAGGCCCAAAATATTCTAAATCAAATCTAATCATATGATATCAAATCTAATCATATGATATCTAATCATATCATATCAAATTAATCATATGATATCAAATCTAATCATATGATATCAAATCTAATCATATCAAATCACAATGAATTATATTTAACACACCACCTAATTCATTGTGTCTAAACTGTCTACATTCATCATGGCCCTTAGTCTTCTGAAGGCTTCGATCTGCACTCCCTTCGTCATGATATCTGCAATCTGATTCTCAGTTCTGCAGTGTTCCAACTTCATCTTCCCTTCTGCTACCCGCTCTCGGAGATAATGGAACCTCATTTCGATGTGCTTGCTTCGACCATGAGCTATTGGATTCTTTGCCAAGTTGATAGCTGACATGCTGTCTATCTTCATGGTAATTGCTCCATGGTTCTTCCCTGTGATTTCTTCGACCAAGTTCACCATCCAAGTTGCTTGACATGCACAAAGGGAAGCAGCTATATATTCTGCTTCGCATGATGATAATGCCACTACTGGTTCCTTTCTCGAATTCCAAGCAACTGGTGCACCACCTAACATAAACACATACCCAGCTGTGGATTTTCGATCCTCAGCATCACTACACCAACTGGAGTCTGTGTATCCCACTAACTTGCATTCTTTTCCTTCATCAGCTGCTGGAAACAAAATGCCATAGTCGAGAGTTCCTTTCAGATACCTCAGTATCCTCTTCGCCGCTGCTAGGTGTGATACCTTTGGTTTCTGCATGAATCTACTTATCATACCAACATTGTATGCTAAGTCAGGCCTTGTGTGACAAAGGTATCTAAGAGACCCAATAAGTCTTCTGTATTAGGTTGGGTCGACATCATCTTCATCTGAATCCTTCGACAGTTGCAATTTGGGCTCAGCTGGAGTCGAAGTTTGGTTGCAATCTTGCATCTCAAATCTCTTGAGTATTTCGCCTGCATATCTTCTTTGATTTATCATCAAACCTCTACTTGTCTTGTAGAATTCGATGCCAAGGAAATATGAGAGATTTCCCAAGTCTGACATTTCAAACTCCTTACTCAGGTCATGTTTGAAATCTTCGATCTCCTTCTTGGAACTCCCTGTTATCAACAAATCATCAACATAGAGACATAGTATAAGCAATTCGCCATTGCTTCTTCTTACATATACTCCATGCTTAGTTGTACACTTCACAAATTCCTTCTCCCTTAAGAAGCTGTCAATTTTCTTATTCCAAGCTCTTGGAGCTTGCTTAAGTCCATACAGGGCTTTATGAAGCCTGTACACCTTTCTTTCTTCGCCTTGTTTCATAAACCCAGCTGGTTGTGCAACATAAACTTCTTCTTCTAAGGGGCCATTAAGGAATGCACACTTCACGTCCATATGACATGTGTGCCAGTTGTTCATATTTTCTAGACCAACAACCAACCTAATTGTTTCAATTCTAGCAACAGGTGTGAATACTTCATCGAATTCGATTCCTTCCTTCTGAAGAAATCCTTTCGCCACAAGTCTCGCTTTGTGTCGAGTTACTTCTCCTTTAGGATTTACCTTCACCTTGTAAACCCACTTCACATCAATTGCCTTCTTGCCTTGTGGAAATTTGACAACTGACCAGGTATCATTGACTTTGATGGACTCTAACTCTTCAATCATTGCTTTCACCCACTTCGAATCTTTCAATGCCTCAACTGCATTGACTGGTTCGGCATCTGCGTAGAAAGCATAACGTACCAGCTCACCCTCTTCATCGACTACATCATCTGATGTGATTACACATTCTTGCAACCTTGCAGGCATGTGTCTAGTTCGTCGAGGTCTGCTTGAACCTGCTTCATCTGCAACTGGTTCCTGTCGAACTTCTATTTCGACTTCAGTGGCTGCAGTTGCTAAACACTTGTGCTCCATCACATTGAGTCCAATCTTGAAGGTCCTATTCTGAGACATTGGAGCCTTCAAGATTAGTCTACCACCTGCGTCGAGGACTCTCATCATCTTGTCTTCGACAACTACCTTGTAGTTCTTTTCGACAAGCTGCCTTATACTGAGCAAATTACTCTTCATGCCTGGTATGTACAACACATTTTTGCCATCTTTCCTCATAATCAGAACATCACCAACACCTTCAGCTGCTAGAGTGTTGTCATTTGCAAACTTCACCGTATTCTTCGACGAGGGCTTCATGTTGACAAACCAATTTTTCCTTCCAGTCATGTGTGATGAGCATCCTGAGTCCAAGTACCACTGATCTTGGAATCTTTCTTCATCGTTTGTTGTGACCATTAGCAACGTTTCTTCTTCTTCATGTTTCGCCAGCTTTGCATCAGTCTCTTGATTTCTCTTCCTTTCTGGACAATCACTAGCATAATGACCATACTTCTGGCAATTGAAACACTGAATGTGGCTTTTGTCTGGCTTTCGACCACCACCTCTTCCTTTACCTGCAGCACCACCTCTTTGGTTGCCTTGGTTCCAAGGTTTCTTCTGATTCGACTGGTTTCCTCCTTTGTTTCCATTCCAGCTACCTTTGCCTTTTCTTTCCTTTTCTGACTGCGCCTGTAAAGTCATATCTTTCGAATTTCCTGTAGCTCTCTCAATCATCCTCTGTTCATGAGACTCAAGAGTCCCTTGAAGCTCTTCCTTCGTCAATACTGACAGATCTTTCGACTCTTCTATAGCAACTACCACGTGGTCGAATTTTGGAGCCAACGATCTCAAAATCTTTGAGACAACTGCTTTCGTCGTTAGCGCTTCTCCACATACTTTAATTTGATTCACCAACTTCGTAACTCTGGTGAAGAAATCTGTAATGCTTTCGTTGTCTTCCATCTGAAGCAACTCATAGGTTCTCTTGTGAGTTTGTAACCTCGCCTCTTTCACCTTCTCTGCGCCTCCAAACGACTTTCCAAGAATCTCCCATGCTTCTTTTGCTGAATCAACATCACTAACCTTTTCAAAGTTATCAGGATCGACACACTGATGAATTATAAAGAGTGCTTTATAATCCTTCTTCTTCAATTCTTTGTGCGCAGCCTTTTCCGCCTCCGTTGCGTTCTCCCCAAGCGATGTTACTCCATCTTTCACAAGATCCCAAAGATCTTGATAACAAAAGATCATCTTAATCTGCACCAATTCTCATAATTGTTTTTCTTGAGAATTGGCAGGGTCGCCTGAAAGTTTCCGTTCGGATAGTTCATCGCCATCACTATCTTCCTTCCTTGAATCTCTCAACCGGAGCTCTAGATACCAGATGTTGGAAATTCACCTCACACCCTATGAAGAATTCCCTTCAATCTTGATCTCAAGATTGATGAACAAACCCACAATATGATAATGATGGTAATAACAAGTAATTATCAAGAACAACAAAAGAGAAGAAGAATAACAAACAAGAAAGAGAAGAATGAGAGAAGAAGTATTTGGAGAGAATGTGTTACCCACAACTGTGGGATTTCTTATTGAACTTTCACTTGCTAACTGTAACTGTGAAATATGTTCTGTTGTGATGTAGAATACAAAGCAAGGCACCCTATTTATAGTTTTAGGTTTACACTAGCCCAAAACATAAAAGGCCCAAAATATTCTAAATCAAATCTAATCATATGATATCAAATCTAATCATATGATATCTAATCATATCATATCAAATTAATCATATGATATCAAATCTAATCATATGATATCAAATCTAATCATATCAAATCACAATGAATTATATTTAACAGTTACTCCCTATTTATAGATTTTAGGTTTATTTGCTTCTTAAGAAAAACTCAAAAATACAAAGTCTAAAATACCTAATTCTACTAACACTACAAAATTAGGTCTAAGTCGAAATCCATTTCGAAGCTAACTCCTTCGACACTTCAACAACTATACAATTCAAACACACTAGATTATTTCGACACTACCTTATTTTTGTCGAGCAACTTGCTTCGACACAATAAATTACATACTCAACAACGATGGCATGACCAATTGTGGAGGTGTTTTGAGCGATAGCACTTGTTCTTGGCTTAAAGGTTTTAGCAAGTTTATTGGTTCTAGTAATAGCATTTATGCTGAGTTGTGGGATATTTTAGATGACCTTCATTTTGCTTTGAGTAGTGGCTGCAAAAAGTTACATATTCAAGTTGATAATAAAAGAGTGGTCTCTATGTTGCAAAAGGTGGATAAAGTGCCTTTCAGATTGGTTTTAATTTGTTACTTCACATCTAAAAGCTTGGTAAACATTGAAGAGGTCACTTTTAAGCAGATCTACCGCGAAGCTAATTATAGTGCAGATTTGTTAGCTAAATGCCGTCATCAGGTTGTAGTAGAATTTATAACGTTAGTCTTACGTGGCTTATTCCTCTGATTAAAGAAAATCTTTGTGCTTTTTTTTTGGTAAGACACCGTAGTTAATGGTCTTCTGGTCAAGTGCTTTTGCCCTCTCAATTTAAAAAAAGAAATCTCTTCCTTATTAAAGAAACAATATAACTCTCCCATAAAAAATAGTTGTTTACCTGCAATAGAGAAAACATAATTATATCATTAAATAAAAGATTAGCGAAAAAATAGATATGCAAGCTTTTCTTAATTTAGTTATATTTGGAGACATATCTTACTCAATTATTGCATACAATTCCATCACGGCTGTCCCAAACAAATAGTTCCATTGATGAACAAGATGACAATTACATAATTGAGGTAGGTGAAAATAAAGGACTTTAGATAACACTTTTGAAACAAAAATGATCTCACATTCTCAATTATTTAGAAGCTTTATCAACCAAAATTTTCACATAACCCTTTGCAAACTCCACAAGTTTATCAGTTTCTGGTAGAACTCCCTTCACAGCAGGATGATCAGCAAAAGCTTCAGCCCATTTCACCAAAGCAGGAGTCTTAGCTCCATCAAGCAACTTGATTCCTTCTATTTTCTCTGTTGCCCTAACCCAACTCATATAGCACCCAAAACCAATATCAATATATCCAATTTTGTCTCCTCCAAAAAACTCCATTCCTTCATTATTGCACTTGTTAATCACTTCTTCTAACCTCATAAACACTTCTTCTACTAGCTCAAAATGTTTCTTCTTTGATTCTTCGTCTTGAGCAATTAAACCATTTCGCACAGAATTGAAAAACTACTCGTCCATTTGAAAAAATTACACCAAAAATATAGAAACAATATGAGTTCTAATTTCATGGTTTATGTATACTGATCTAACAAGACAAAGTTCACTGTCAACTAGCAAGGATCATTTAAAGACCGAACAAAATTTTCTATATACTAACTCAACACAAGAATTGTTAGTGGAGAAATTAAAGTATAAATATTGAAAAATTCAATTAAATGGCAACATATTTAGTAAAAAGTAGATAAGGATTAGAAATACCTTGTCATCTATGTAGGCAACCCAAAATCTAGCAATGGCGCTATCAAAAGCATTCGAAGGAAAGATAGAGGGAGTACCATTATCTTTCCAAACTTCATCAATATACTCAACTATGATTGCAGATTCACAGATGATTTTATCTCCATGACTGAAAACTGGGATTTTCTTGTATACAGGATTGGAATGAAGAAGCAACTCACTTTTGGGATGCCAGGTTTCTTCAATGTTGTCATACTCCAAACCTTTGATGTTAAGGGCAATTTGTACCCTGCATGCAAATGGACTGAACCAACTACCCAAAAGTTTCAAAGCCATTAGAAATGGAAATACTAGACTATGTTCTTTTTTTCAATAGATTGAAAAGATTATGCTCAAACAAATTACATAGACTATGTATATGTAGTACCCTATCTCGGGTGTGTATATATATATATATATATATATATATATATATATATATATATATATATATATATATATATATATATATATATATATATATATATATATATATATATATATATATATATATATATATATATATATATATATATATATATATATATATATATATATATATATATAATTTTTTACATTAATATAATAAAATATAAATTATTTTTTCTCAAATTTACTATTTATTAAAATTTTATTTTTATTATAACATGACAAAACACATTCTTAGTGTTGAGGGGTGAGGAATTACAAATTTGAACTTAATATATTTCTTACTTTTTTTTTTAATTATTTAAGTTGGAACTACAAGTCGCTCGCATGTTTCTTTTTTTATGTTATTTTTAAAAGGAAGTTTTTTTTTATATAATTTATTTATGTATTAGTTTTCCATGTTAATATATCAACTATTATTTTATTATATAGTTTGTTTGATGATTCAATATTATACTATAATTTAACACTAAATCATACTGTATTATGGTTATGAGTTGGATTAAAATCAAACAGGATATAATACAATGTTAAGAAAACAATTTAATTGTTTTTTTATATAATTTTTTATCTTATCAGATTAGAAAAGAATCGGTGGTCTGTCACGCGTCGTGAATTCATGTGTTTATCATTGTTGGAGAAGAGTAGAGGGTGTACTTAGAAGGTACTCTGATGATAAAGTGAGAAACGGAGTAAGAGAGAATAAATACAGAAAGAAGGTGTAGAATTCAGAATATCTGACCCTCTAATGAAATAGGGTATTTATAGTGCGCCACCGGCGCTGGTCAACGGTCACTTTGCCTTAAGTTGCATTTTCAGGCCCAACACAAGTAGGAGAGAGTAAGTACAGAAAGAATGTGTAGAATTCAAATAACTGACCCTTTAATGAAATAGAGTATTTATAGTGTGCCACCAGCGCTGGCCAACAGTCACTTTGCCTTGAGCTGGATTATCAGGCCAACACAAGTAACTGACAGGATCTACGTGGCGTAGGAAAGACCAGCACGTGGTCTTCACTCTGGTCCAACTGCCCCGTGATCCTCGGAAGGTGGGAGACCGGTTCTTTAGAATGCAGGTAGTTGTCTGATGACCTGTCCCCGCGTGTGAAACATATGAAGAACGTGGGGAAGGTGTGTGAGCTCTCTCCGTGTTAGGTAGTGGTCTGTCCGACTGCAGAGTGTATTAAGCGTGTCCGACGAGATGGAAGATTGAACATTTCTAGATTTCTCTAATGTAGTATTGAGTTGTACCTGCCCGACTGTGGGACAGATACCAGCCAAATCTAGAACAATTTTAAAGTTTATCTCAATTCTTTATCTTTTTATATTATTAATGTCAAATACATTTATCCTTTATGTTTTATAGCAATAACATTTTATTCTTTTTTTATTTTCTGAGTTTTAATAAATTAATTTTTTAGTTATCAAATATTTGCAACTTTAATAATAAAAAAATATAGACAAAAATATTATTAAAATAAACATAAAGATCATTTTAATAGTTAAAAATCTCTTTAAATTTCAAAAACAAAAAGAAAAACTAAAAAAAATTATAAAAACAAAACATAATGAAAAAGTAAGATGCATTTAACTTATTATTAAAGGTTGCTAATATTAATAAAGGTTGCGAGTTACTAATATTAATACAAGTTACTAATGTTAATAAAGGTTGCGAGTTTATTTCGAAAATACTAAAATAAGATGAGAAATATTTTTTGAATACAATATAAACAATAAAACACTAATATTGATTTTTTTAATATAGTTCATTATAATCTTGTACAAAAATATAAAAATGATATTAGAAGAAAAAAGTGAATTGTCAGCTTAAATGTAGCGACAAAAGAACTACTGTGCCACCCAATAAATTCAAGTCGAAATTGTCGATTCAATAATCAAAGCAGACGTTCTGGTATATCCAACAAATCATAAGTTGTTCACTTACTCTCTCCGATGGCCTTTTCTTACTTTTTTTTCTAGAAACTAGTGTAGTGTAGTGATAAAAGAGGTTTATAATGGGGATTGAATCGATTTTGAAGATAAAGCTAATACAATTTAATGATAAATTTATTTGTAATTTGACTTAATTTTGAACGATGGACTAAAAAAATTTAATTCGATCGGATCTAATTTTATATGATTTAATTGAATAATTTTTTTAGATATTAAAATTATGAATTTTTTATTAAAATTAATATATAATACATACTATATTAAAAGCTAATAATACAAAAAAATAAAAATAATTGATTATAATTGAAACAAATAAAATTAAATAAAAAATAAATCATATTAAAAAAGTATCATCAATTAATAAATTAACACAATATATTATATTTTGAAAAAATAAATCTATACGGAATACTTTATTTTAGTGTGGCCTATTTTTCTATCAATTTTATCCTTGTAATTTACTTAATAACTTTCTATTATTAACTTTCACATAACTTATTATTATTAACCTCCACATAGTTTCTTATTATTAACTTCCATCTATTAGATTTAAAAAAAAAAATTATTTCAACAAAATATATCGTTTATATGTTTATGCGCATTAAAAAAGCGGATAGACGAGTACGCGAGTGCCCTTCTGGACGCTAGTAAGTATAAAATGTGTCTGTGTGTGTGTGTGTGCGCGCGCCCGTGTGTGTGCGCGCGCGTGTGTGTTTGTGTGCGCGCACGCGTGTGCATGTGAGTGTGTGTGTGTGTGTGTGCGCGCGCGCGTGTGTGCATGTGCGTGTGTGTGTGTGTGCGCGCGCGCGTGCATGTGCGTGTGCGTGTGTGTGTGCGCGCGCGTGTGTGCATGTGCGTGTGTGTGTGTGCGTGTGCGTGTGTGTGTGCGTGTGTGTGTGCGCGTGCGCGCGCGCGTGTGTGTGTGTGCGCGTGTGTGCATGTGTGTGCGTGTGTGTGTGTGTGCACGCACGTGTGCATGTGCGTATGCGTGTGTGTGTGTGTGTGCGCGCGTGTGCATGTGCGTGCGTGTGTGTGTGTGTGTGTGTGTGTTTGCGCGCGCGCGTGTGTGTGTTTGCGCGCGTGTTCATGTGCGTGTGCGTGTGTGGTTTGGTTTGGTTTCAATCGATTTTAAAAATTCAATCCGAAATCCGATCTAAACTGAACGGTTTTTACAAAAAGGCATCCAAAGTCTAAACACGTCCAATAATATTTGATTTTTGTGATTTTCAATTATTTTGAATCGATTTGCGATTTTTATTTAAATTAGTTTAATTTTTATTTTTTTTGAAAAAAGGTTATATTGAAATAAAGAAGAGTTATACACAAAAAGGTCAGGGACTAAAGTTAATACCCACTCAAAAATATCTAAATCTAAAAAGAGGCGAACCTAACCTATTTTTTTACATAACCACTTCTAATCTCGATAGTTAAAGAATAAAAAAAGTGAATACATTAGATGTTCGGTCCATATTAGCAACAAAAAATCCGCACAACTATTTCTCTCTCTATAAATGTGAAAAATTACAAATTTCATGTCTAAAATATATTTCCAAAATATACATGATGCTAGCAATCTACCTATTCCTTAGCTGCCAAGGAATAATATCTATCTTAACATAAGAGACATCTTTAACAACCATACTTGAGTCAGATTCGACCCAAAGGTTCCTCCAAACACTATCTTTAGCTATTTTTATACTACGAAGAACGCCACAAAACCCTGCCAGCAACGAATTTCCCCAGGTTAAAGGTTCAGCAAAAGCTAAAACAAACCCACCAAAACGTTTTCTGAATAAACCACCATAACCAGCAAAATTAGAAGTAGATGCAAAAGAACCATTTACATTACATTTGATCCAGCTTTGAGGGGGAGACTCCCTAAATATCCAATGTATGGAATGGGCACTCGAAGGGTTTAGTTTTACCTGAAACGTTTTCACAACTTTAAAATCAAACATGCTATGCTTAAAAATGCTAGCTTAGTTCTTGAGCAAGAGAGATTAACTTGAGCTATAATATTGGCACTGATGGAATACAGATTAGGGTCAATGCTGAAGTATCTAACAACATTCATGACCTTCCAAATTTCATTAATTAAGAAAATATAGGTAACTTTAGAAGATAAATTCCAAATTTTGAAACTGAAATCTAGATATGTTGGTTGAGGATGCTCCCAAACTAGTTCCAACGATTCTTTACAAATGCACAAGAGAAGAAAATATGCTCTAAGTTTTCAGCATGCCTTTTACAGAGAGAACACGTAGAAACCACCTGGAAAACTCATATTTGCAATTGATCATCAATGGGACTTTATTTTGAAGCAACCTCCAAACCTTTAAAGATTTAAACTATTTCTTATTGTACCCTATATGTTTCTAATGCACCATGTGAATTTCCACATATCCCCCCTGATTTCAGAGATACATCTCTGGACGCCCCTATTTCTGAATAAACGTTAACATATTTCGGAGATAGATCTCTTGAGCCATTTTAAACATTCAGAACAAGCATCCATTAACCATTTACATATGAGTTGTTCTGAAGATGCATCTACGATAATTTTTCGAAGATACATCTCTGAAGTGTATCAGAATAATTTTTTTTTGCTTTAAGATGTGTATTTGTTTTCAGATGAAGTTTGAAGCACGGACTTGAATAAAAAAATAGACGTATAAAATAATAAGAGACTAATATTGGGCATGTCGAAAATAAGATAGCAATAAAATTAGAAAATATCGTACAATCGAGATCCAAAATGTAGTAACAATGTCAAAAATAAAGTACAAACTATAGTGCTACAGCAAAATAGAGACAGAAAACTATTGGGTGTACCAGACAACCTCTCATCTACCTCCTCAGCCATTAATCCTCCTCCGACGATGTCTACGGTAAAACACTGCCCTTTGTGCCTCCGCCATGATGCCATATAGGACTCGCCTGACAGTAGACCCTCAGGGAAGATACCCTCGTCAATTCCTGTCCGTGCAATCTTCACTATGTGACGACACTAAGGCAAGAAATCAGCAGTATGATCTAGATGAGTCTGCTCCTCCTCAAGTATCTCTTCATGAGCTGGTCTCAGCTGATCTTCTGGAGCAGTCTGTACCATGTACAGATGTGACACCATAAAGAACCACCAGATGTACCAATTGGCATAGCTTCATTCGTTCAGCGCTATGGTAGCCCGTGCCTCGTACGGTACCAGATGACTCTAAAAATCAGCAAAGATCTTCATTATCTGTCTATGAGACAAGGCAGGAGGAGCAAGATAACAATGTGTTTGAGGATAGTCTGGTTGTACCCGAACTGCAACATGATGCGCTCAGGCAGACGAGGAGCAGTGATACGTGATCCACAGGTCAACCATCTGAAATATAGATTTATGTCGTCAAATGGCCACGTCTGACGGTGATCCACGTTATTGTTGAAGTGCATGTCCTCAGCAACCAAACGATCAAGGTAGACTCTAAAAGGCTCGACCGCCTGGTTCCGTCTCAACGGGATAAAAGCACAGGCACAAGGCATATCGTCAGTGTACTCATGCACACTCGCCCAACCAGCGATGTGTGGGAAGTGCTAGAGGATACAAGCCTAAAATGAAAATAAAAAAAAAAAAATCAAGGATCAAGAATTATCTGCATTGGTTTCGCAAATATGAAATAAAAATGAAAAAAAAACAAGTATCAAGAATTATTACCATCAGTAGTGTCACGCTGCCTATGACCTCCTTCGTCCTCCACCGACATCCATCTCTTAAATTCAAATAAACATAGCACAGGCAAGCCTCCCCCAATTGTACTCATGGATCTGAGGGAGATCCAAGAAGTATAAAAAGATATGCAACGTCAGTATAAGTGACACTCGTGTCCATAAAAATGCAAGTCCCAACCAAAAAAAGAAAATATGCTCTCAAAGCACGAGCCATGTGTACCGCCACTTACTCAGCATCACCATCAGTCTGCTGTGTAGCAACAATCTCATCATCATATATCTCCTTCAGGAACTCAAACCTAGGATGAGCACCTCTGGTCCTATCCATCTCCTCAATCGCCTTCCCTAGATCGGCCCCTAGATGTTCTACCATCATCTCGATTACCTCGCCTTTGGTCATCCTACCATGATCGAGGAATCCCCCCCTGATTGGAAGATGTAACAAACACAAGACATTGTCCAGTGTGATAGACATCTCACCATGCGGGAGATGAAAAAAAGACGTCTCAAAATTCCATCTCTACGCGAACGCATTAAGCATCCCTGGTTGACCGGAGTGTAACTGGTCATGCATAAGTCCTTCAACCCAAATAAGGTTAAAACTGAATGAAACCACTCCTCATCCGGCTGACCTAAGCCAACAATATTCCTCCCATGGTTAATAAACTTATGGGGATCACGCACCTGAAATTTTCCTGAAATAATCAATGTCAGTAATAATCAATGTTAGAAATAATTAATGTCAGCAATTTAAATGAACGTAAAAAATAAATCAAAATTCTAACTAATGTTACCTCTCCGTCCCAGATATGTCTGGAAGTGTGGTTTGGATACATAGGAAGTAAGGAAAGATTATATGCACCTTCTCCAAATCCATATGGCTCGACATCCTCATCAACCTCACCCTCTGGAGGTGGCACTGGTGAATCCTGACGCCTGCGGGAGGATGGGGGAAGTGACACGTCAGTTGGTGAATCTCGTCTCTTATTGGAAGAAGAAGAAGATTGAGTGGCCTGAGATGAAGGTGGAGTGGTATGAGAGAAGTGGCCTGAGGTGAAAGACGAGCCCCAAGAGTAGACTGCGCCCCAGAAGTCAACGCCTTTGCCTGACCAGTAGTACTTGTTGCCTCTGAAACCTGCTGGCTCCGCTCTTGCCTGATGGATGCGTGCTAGGCAACTTGGTTATGTCTCATTCTGTCGACTTTGTCATCCATAATGTCTGTAAGGTAAACTAAGGTGTATCATTAGTGCAAGCAGACAACACAAACAAACAAGAAAATTTTAAATAAAAAAAAAGACTGCAGGATATTCTGGAGATATATCTTCGAAAAGATCATAAAATAATAACGTTGAACAATTTCAGAGATACATCTCCAAAACACCATAAAAATATTACCTTTAAAGAGTTCTGAAGATGTATCTCGGGAAATTCCCAAAGAATATGAAACGCTAAACTCTTCCGAAGATGTATCTCAGAAAAGTTTAGCAACTCAAAGGTTGCGACAATGTAAAGTGGCTCATGGAAGTTGAAAAAAGTGATATGATTGCCATTTTGATCCAACAAACAAGTCATATACTAAGTTTAAACTATGTTACATACGATTCCTACACATTTCTAACCCTAATCATTGATTTCTACATATTTACACAAAAACTCAAAATTTATCCAAAAACTAAAAAATTTACCTGAAATTTATGGTTTTGATGATGTTTGATGTTCCTTTGAGCTTTCTTTAATGAAATTTGATGTTATGAAGAAGTTGAAATTTGTATGTGGAGAGAAGAGTTTGAGATATGTAAAGGAGGAGAAAAGTCTGACGCGTTATATGCTCCAAATTGTTCTGAAGACATATTTTCATAATATTTCAATGTTCAATAAATTTTAGATGCATCTGGATATATATCTCCGAAATCAAGAGACATTTATGAAATTTCATGTGATACGTTAGAAATACATAAGATGGATAAAGAAATTCTCAAGATTTACTTGAAGGGAGATCAGTGATGCAAATGACAGAAGCCTAATTAGCATCTTTAATGCAAGTTTTTAATAGTTAAATTTTCTATAGTTAACGATGATTATAAAGAATTTACATTGGAATGGCTATGACATGACATTTAATTCACTAACTTTTAGTTTCCGACAATTATATAGCTAACGTATGCAAAATTAGTTTTTGTCTTATTATATATTTTATTTAAAATAATTAAATTAATGGTAACTTCAATAAAAAATAATTACAATTAAAAAATATAAAATATAAGGTTAAATTTTAGTTTTTTTATAAGAAACTATCATTAAAGTAAAAACAATTCAAATCAACTATAAAAATTTTAAATCTTACAAATCACTTTAGCCCCACAAAAAATATCTTAGTTTATCCAGTTAAAATATTTCCACTAAAAATGCTCTTAAATAAATTTGGCTGGAGAGGTTAAGCATCTATTAGTAATCTCAACTATTTTTATTAGGTTGATAATAGTAAATAAATAACATACATTTGGCCCCACGAATCATATTATTATACTTGCACTATAATAATGTCAATCACTTGCAGTATTATTTCGATTGAAATGATTCAAAAATAATAATATTATAGTGCGAGTATAATAATATAATTAGTGGGGATTGATATGATTCAAAAATAATAGTATTTAATATTAAATTCTCAATTTTTAAATTGTTTCGGTAAGTTTCATTCCTTAAATTTAAATAATCAATATTGTCACATCATCATACTTTAATAGTAAATAAATAAATAGCAGAGCTTAAAGACTAAATAATCATGAAATCCCCACCATTAGAAATGCTCTAAAAATTGATTCAAAGCTATTACAAAATCACGAGGCTCTTATGTTAGGAGGTGGTTAATTTCGAATTGTCAATAACTTAGGCATGAATCTTCATTGTCGGAGAAATTTCACTTTTCATTCAAAACTTGTCCAAAACATAAATTACACATTTTTACACAACAATTTCAACTTAATACAGTGACAACATCTATAACATCTATGCATATCTCTATATTAACAATATATATGCACAATGAGTCGTATAAACCGATTTCTTGTATCGGAGGCGTGGTAACGACTTGGCTCACAAGCAATCAATGGTGTTTAGACAAGCATTTGTCATATCATTGTCCGTTAGTGCTTCGCGAGTTACATCTTAACTGGGAACCAAAATCGTTTCGCATGTTAAGCTGCTGAAAAGATGTGGAAGATTATCATAAGTTTGTAAAGGAGCAGTGGGGTGGATTGAGAGTGGAGGACTGGGGAATGTATGTGCTTAAAGAAAATTTTGAACAGATTAAATCGAGACTTAAGGAGTCGCATAAAAACCATACTCAAAATTTGGGAGAGAAAATCCAAGTGGAAAAAGAGAAACTTAATAGGCTCAAAATTAAAGGAGAGACGGAGGTACTTTCGAAAGAAGAGATACATAGTAAGAGAGTGCTCACGGTGACAGTACATAGACTTTCAAATCTCAATTGCAGCATATCTAGATGGCTAAAGGAAGGCCATGCCAATACAAAATATTTTCACTGGTGTGGTGTGTGAACAAGCGGAGGAAGAGCAATGAGATTCTATGCTTGGAAATTAATAATGGGAGGATCACAGAAGTGAAGGATATAAAGAACGCAATTTTTGAGCATTTTCAGAGCCACTTTGCAGCGAGAGGAGTGAGACCAATAATTGAAAATATGCAAGTTAAAAGAATGGATGAAAATCAAAGCACTGAGTTGGTCAAAGTATTCACAAAAGAGGAAATACGCCAAGTCATTTGGGAATGCGATAACTCTAAAAGCTCGGGTCCAGACGGGGTAAACTTTGGCTTTGTTAAGGAGTTTGGGGAAGACATAAAACATGATTTTTGTAGAGTTCTGGCAGAATTTCATTCAAACTGGCGAATAACCAAGGGGGATAATAGCTCATTTCACAGTCTCTTCAAAACATAAGACAAATATTCCGAATGTCACAAAAGTTCAATAAAATATAACTCAACCATAAACTGTTTTCATACCAAACCCTACAAAGTACTTAAGAGACAAGTTTAAAAAAGGAATAAAAAACAAAGCAATTCAGACAACAAACTCAAAACAAAAGTTATCTCACATCCATCTCCTTACAAATAGCAGCAACAAGATTACTTTTGCAACATAGCTTTGGCATATTCCAAGAGCTTATCAGTTTCTGGTAAAATTCCCTTGACAGCAGGATGAGCAGCAAATGCCTCAGCCCATTTCACCAATGCAGGAGTCTTGGCTTCATCAAACATCTTTCCTGTTACTTTCTCTTTCACCCTCATCCAACTCAAATAGCATCCTAAACCAATATCAATAAATCCAATCTTATCTCCTCCAAAAAAGTCATTTCCTTCACTGAAATTGTTGATCACATCTTCTAAGGTCACAAGAACTTGTTCTAGTTGCTCAAAATATGTCTTCTTTGAGTCTTCATCTTGAGCAAATAAACCATTTCGCAGCGAGTTGTAGAACTAGTCTCCCAATTGATGCACCAAAAACATGGAGAAACAAAACATATCATTCAAGAGATCTCACCAAATACCCGATGCAGCAGAAATAAATATAAAAATATAAAAAAAAACTGATGATGCTTAGTAAAAATGAATAAGGATTAGAAATACCTTGTCATCTATGTAGGAAACCCAAAACCTAGCAATGGCTTTATCATAAGCATTTGAAGGAAGAATAGAGGGAGTACCATTATCTTTCCAAACTTCATCAATATACTCAACTATGTTTCCAGATTCACAAACGGGTTTATCTCCATGAATGAGAACTGGGATTTTCTTGTGTACAGGATTGGACTGAAGAAGCAACTCACTTTTGAGCTTCAAGTCTTCTACAATGTTCTCATAATCCAAACCCTTGACGCTAAGGGCGATTTGTACTCTCACTGCAAATGGACTGTACCAACCACCCAAGAGCTTCAACTCATTAGTGGCCATAGCTGCTTAGAAATGAAAATATTGCAATTCTGCTAGATAGGGTGTGGATGAAGTTGTTTATATAGAAAGAAAGAGTAAAGTTGAGAGAGATAATAGATTTGTGGTGTGCAAATAGTATTAACTACCAACAACTATTTTGTGATACAATTAATATCAAACGTACAAGTTTTCAATGTGTAGCCTTTACAGTATTAACTATTATTACTATTATTTATTAACAATTTAATAATAATAATAATAACAATAATAAAAGCTATTTAAAATAAAAGATCTCTAAACCTAATAATAAGAATAAGAATAATAAAAGCTATTTAATTATTATTCTTATTTTCTTATTTTAGTTTGATGCTGCATCTGTAGTATAAACCTAAGATCTCTAAATCTAATATATTTTTAATCTAAGTTTATTTTCTTCCTTTTTTTTTCTTTTCAAGATCTCAACATTATAATTTTATTATTTTTATGTTTAGATTTTGGTTGTTTGATATATGTAATATAAATCTAAGATCCTAAAATTTATTTTTAATCAAAGTTTATTTTTCTTCTAATTTGTTGTTGGTAGCTAAACTCTTATCCGTCTATTTCTGTCCGCCTAACCCGCAATTTGTCTGACCTAAGATCAACAAAAATGGATACATAATTTTCAACCGCGGATTTGAGTCAGTTTGATTTTAAGCCCAAAATCGCTCATATCAGCCCAACGTCCACCCCTATCCATTCCATAATCAAAGCTAGCAAACAATAGTGCCTAGTAGTAAAAGGAAAACGACATAGAAATATGATACCCAATAAATAAGTGATATCTTGTTAAGAGTCATCTCTCTTAAAACTTTGACAGGAGCATAATTACATGATCCAAACTAAATAAGTTTAATTTTTATTTTATATTTTAAAATGTATTGTTTTAAATCGTAACCACCTGATTTTTATCGAACAATCAAGGACACATAATTGCGTGAATGCAGTGGCGGCTGACTGCTGACTGCAGTAAATCGCGGTCCTATAACAAGTTTAAAGATCTGACCATCAGTCTCAGTCCCTTACAAATCTTTAAACACGCCCACTAAATAGAGTGAGAATAAGTCAATTCAGGTGATTTGGATTTCAAGTCTGATTCTAGTTATATGTTTTTTTTTCCTAATTTGATATTTTCAAAAGCCTTTTAAATTGTGGACCATAAATTAGGAAAAAAATCGGGAGAAGTTTGTGAAGCTTGACAGATCCACTATAATTAAAGTCAGAGTCAAGATTAATGTGGAAAACCCCATAAAGTAGGGTATGCGCATCAGTATCATTGTTAGTGTTATTAGCTGGATCGATTTCAAATACAAAAAACTCCCTATGTTGTGCTTCCAATGTGGGATTATGAGGCATAATTAAGAGCGTTGTAAGAATCTGTCTAATTCACAACATGACATTACATTAGCTAACCTGTTGGGACCCTGGGTTAAAACTAATCAATCGGGAAAAGCAATTCAACAAGAATCCTAGAAATAAAACCCAATATTAGTCAATATAGTCATCTCTAAAGAAATGATGGAACAACTTGATAAGGTAGATATGAAGGAATTTGGGAGAAGTTGAATGTTATTACCACAACAGAAGATCACAAAGAAAAATATAGAGACACAAAATAAATCTACATCAACAAAAGTAGAAGAGTGAGAAAGCTAGAGTGATGAAGCAAAAATGTAAATTTATATATTTTTTACTCTAATCAAAATTTTATTTACTTTTATATTGTGACTAACCCAAATAATTGGAGGGATTCATGGATTTATGAGTATTCAAAAGTAACTAAAAATTGCTTGTTTGCAATCTCATAAGTAATTTGGCCCAAAGATATAGCTTTACTAAATGTATTTTTTTAGACCTTAATATTATTACCAAATCTAATGAAAAGACAAGGGAAACCTCGTTGATATTACTATTACCTCTACTATTAACTGAACTTTTACTAATTGCCTCTTAAATGATCTACGTTATTCAGAAAGCATGAAGACTTGGTGCAATAATCAAATTTGAGACAAATATATCACAGTCACGCTGGATAGGTTTTTGGCTACCGACATTTAGATAGATTAATATCCCCACTACATCGAGACACACCTAATTAAAAATAGATTTGGCAATAACCTTATCTGACCATAGTACTTTATACGAGTCGTTAAAATATCTATGCTTTTTGGTTTGAAAAAAGTTTGTTTGAAAAGAGATTGGGGAGATGATAAGAGAGGATCTATGATAAGTGCCAAATTGGATTACAAGTTCAAGGCCATTTCGTCTTTAAGTTCATCCACTCATCTTGGTGGATTAAAGCACTAAACATATCATTAACTAAAAGCACCTAAAATAAATTGAACAATTCACTTTAAAGATAGATTTAAATTAGTGAATATTTGTCCAACTTCATCTACACCCTAAGTCCGATGAATTTAAAGAGGAAAATGACCTTTAAAAGTGCATTCCAAGGGAAAAAATCAAAAGAAAATAGAAGAAGAAGAAGAAGAAAGAACCAAAACAGTCACAAAACAGAGCCAAAAACTCAAAATCAACATTGGGTAACCGATTACCCTAAGCTGGTAATCGGTTACCACTGCTAAAACAACGGGAAAATAGCTTTAAAAAATACAGAAACTTGACCAATCATTTCTTCAAACACCTCATGATCAAGGATGCAATTGAGCACGAAAATTCAAGTAAAATAATATCAATCAACACCAATAGAACACAATTTGCAAGATCCAAAGATCAAGCAACAAGAATCAATAATTGATCACATTGTGGAAGATGTATCAAGAATAACAATGGTGGATCAAGAAATTACCATTCCAAATCTGGAAACTCTTCAAATCAACTCCACAAACCACACTTCAAAGCCTTGATCCACTAGAATTGATGATGAAAAAGTGAATGGATGAAGGTTTAGCTCAAAGATTAGTAAGTTCTAATGATGAACTTACTAACTTTCAAAGGAAGAAAGTGCTTGGTGAATTTGGTAATTGGAGAAAATTGAGAGTAAAGAAAGAATTTGACAAGGTGAACTTGACTATCAAAAGCTTATAAAATGAGAGAAATGAGACATTTATTTATAGAATTTAGGCTTGGAAAGTATGGCGGATTGGAGTTTGGTTTGGAATCAAAATTAGGCTTGGAATTTGAATTTGGAGAGAAATTAATGATCAAGTGGTGATTAGTGAAGGTGTATGGTGGGAATTAATTATGATGAGGTAGGGGAATTAAAATGAAGTGATCTAGAATATTCTCATGTTGCAATATTTGAATTTGGTGCCAAAAATGCTGCAGAATTTGAGTTTGCCCAATTTTCACAAAATTTGCACAGGGTAATCGATTATTCAATACTGGTAATCAATTACCACAGGCAAAAATAGTGAAAAATTTTCCTTTTTGATGTGTTGTCTTGGCTCTAGCTCGATTATTTTGCTTGTCAAAGAAGGCATAGAAATAAACACATGAACCTTGGATTCTCTTGAATAAAAGTCAATCAAATCTTGGGAAACTCTTAATCAGATGATTTTGGAATGGTTGTAGATCAACTTCGACTTTGTTCAAATGAAATTCATTTGAGATGAGGGACTGATATTTGATATCTTTGCTCCAAAATCTTCTTGAAGAAGTTAGTAAAGGAAAAACAAACATTTTTTTGGATTTTAATTAATGGTTAGTAAACATAAACATAAACAAATATCAAACAAACAAGAAAACAAAGGTGTTCGGTGATCTCTTAAGAACAAACCTGCAGAGGAAGGCAAGAGAACCAAAGCTTGCAATCTTGTTTGTGGGATGCGATGCAAATGACATGTGGGATATTAGGGGTAAAAATTAGGGTATTACAGCTGCCCATATTTAAGTTTCTTCTATCCGGAGATATGAAGATTGACATCTTTGTCTCGACCAGATAGAAGAGACTTAAATATAACAAATAAACCCAATTTTTGGCTCTAAGAGGCCACAAAATGATATGATTATGTTAATGGTATGGTATGCAAACATAAGACTTTTGCGGGGGAAAATGCCACAGGAGACAAACAAACGTTGGGGAGCAAAAGAAGAAAATAGACTCCACAGGAAAAAAACAAAAGGGCAAGATCCTATTTCGATAAAGGAAAGGAAACGACTCAACGAAGAAAAGATACCAACTGCCGGTTACTGGGCAAAGATACTCAAACCGAAGAGAACAGATAAAATACTTTCTACTGGTTACTGAGTAGAAAATAAGTGTAATAAACACGAAAGAATTGTCATCTACCGGTTACTGGGTAGAAAACAAAGGGATGTATTACTTATTACCAGTTACTGAGTAAAAAGTAGTCCATTTGTTGAGAGATAATCAACTACTTATTACTGGATAGGAAAATAAACAATGTCAACTACTGGTTACTGAGTAGTTTGACAATAGCAATAAACTTGAAGAAAAAGGTTACCAACTATCGGTTACTGGATAGGATAAACAATATATCAACTACTTGTTATTGGGTAGGAAAATGAATATCACCACAAGGAAAGATTACCGACTACTGGTTACTGTGTATAAAAATAACGATAACTAACCAAAAGAGAGACAAATGTTACCTGCTACCAGTTACTGGGTAGAAAAAATAAAGGCAACAAGCTCAGGAGGAAGGATTACCTTTTACCGGTGACTGGGTAAAAACAAAGGATAACCAACCAAAAGGGGTGAGAAATATTACCTACTACCTGTCACTAGGTAGAAAAAATAAAGGCAATATATTCAAAAGGTGAAGAAACATTACCAACTACCCGTCACTAGGTAGAAAATAAAGGTAATGAACTCACAAGGAATACCTGCTACTAGTCAATGGGTAGGGTATTGCAAATGTCAATTACATGTCACTAGGTAGGACAAACTCGACTACCTGTCACTGGGTAGGATAAAGAAATTAAGGTCGAATGCCTGTCACTGGGTAGGTCAAATACACTTAACTACCTGTCACTGGGTAGGAGAAAGAGGTACATTA